TGCATTAGGGGAAAGCAAATTAACAAGTCTAAAAAACACATTTTGAGTTATTCAAAAGTTAGAAACCTAGTTGGCGACATATACACATTTGAGGATGCCCATTGAAAATGAGAATTTATAACCCATAAAAGAAGAAACTAGACCCTAGGATTATTAGTAGGCATTTCATTATATATGTTGAAAGTCTCAAAGGTATAGGTTTTATAGTATATCTCACAACACTAGAATCGTGAAATCAAGAAATTCAAAGTTTCTTGAAAATAACTTAATTAGTAGGAGTGATATATTTCAAGACATTACTTTTGAAAGGAATCATTATAAATCTAAACCCTCTAGATCAAATGACAAATTAGTAGCCATTCATATAGTTAAAAATATCAATGACCATTGTCTATATGTTTACCATAGCTCAAGGAGTGCGACATCATTGTTTTACTTTTATTTTGTTTTGCTATATTTGTTTGAGGAAAGAGTACTAGCGCCAATAGTTATTTTTAGTTTTATTAATTAAAGAAATGTAATTATTATATAAATACTTGTAAACATTGTGTAACACATACATAAACAAAAAGAAACACAATATAGAGAATAAAAAAATGGTGTTAGACACCAATTTTTTTTTCTATTTATTTTATTCCACACATATCTCTAAAAAAAAGAGACAATAGGAAAAAGATAAAAGTGCAAAAAGAAGTGAATAAAGAAGATAAATAAAATGTAAATAAACAATAGAAGAGGTAGAATAAATAAGTAGTAAAACATTCTTTTGGACTATCTGTAACTTAGTGCCAAATTGATTAATTATACCTAATAATTAGATTTAGTTTTATGATCCAAAGTATTTATCCTTTTTATTTAATCTTTTTCAAGGGACTTTAACACCATGTAAAAAAGCATGACCAAGCCTACAGGAAGAAAAGTATTTAATTGTAAAAAAGAGTGTCTCATTCTAATTATTATTCAATTAATCAAGTTATAATTAGACTTTGAACATAACATGTAACAAAGCACTCATAACATCCAAAACAGGATAACCAATGCCCCAAAAGTTCTAGTTGAATAATTTATAGCATGTTTATATTAAACGAGTCAAAAGTTCAAATTTGAAAGGATTGTTTCAATTGGCTTCAAATAATAATATTTTTATCCAAAGATACTCAAACCAACCAAACTGTCATGTCTCAATTCGTTCATTCATAGCTTGTGTCGATTAACATTGATTGAAAGTTTCAAGATCCCAATGTGACCAATGTCCACCACTACTAAGCAGTATGTTAGATCTTAAATTTGAATAAGATTAAAAAAGATAAATGAGAAGAATAAAACAAAGGACTACCTCAAAACATCGAATTCTCATATAAATTTTTAAAACTTTATCATTATCCTTAGATAAAACCAGCAATGTTTACTGAGAATCAAATTAAACTACAAGTTAAATTATAACAACTTTATGTTAAATTATTTACATGCATGATAGTTTTATTAAAAAGATATATATAAGTTTAAAATTAAATTTAAAATATTTTTTAAATGTATTAATAACTCAAACAAGCTTAGTAATTTTTGACCATTTAAAAAATAAATTTTTAATTAAAATTTATATATTTTAGTTATTTAAACTGATTACAAATATTTTTTTATGATTAAAAAAATATCAATTTTATATGTATACAAATTATTTTTATCAATATTTTTACTAGCCAGCAAAACTGTCAAAATATGACTAATGATCTGTTTATTTTTAAATTTATAAGCATAGAATCAATTTTGGATATAAAATAAGTGATTAAAATATATTAAAATTTTAAAGGCAGGCTTAATCTAAAAGTTTTGAGAAATATTATAAAACTTTAAATTTAAGTCGTTTAAAATATTTTAGACTTACAAATATCTTGCTTGTATATTTTATTTAATTGTTAACAACATTTTTTCTATGTAAATACTTATTATATTAGGTAAACAAGTCTAATTGTTTTTAAATTATAAAAAATTGAATTGGCCTAAGTTAAGAAATAAAATTGGTCCATATTTTTTATATTCTTTCAAAGTTTTTATCTAATTTAATTTTCATTTCCCTGGGACAAATTAACAAAAAGAATATACATATATTTTTTTAAAACATACGACATCAAATATATTCAATGCACACGCCTGGTGGGACTCGAACCCACAATCGTCTGATTAGAAGTCAGACGCCTTATCCATTAGGCCACAGGCGCCTACTGTTGCTTTTGCAAAAAGATATTTATAATAATGAGAATAAAATTATGACCCAGTACTTTTACCAAAATATAATGGATATAAATTTAAAATTTATAAAATATTAAATTCATTAATTATTTAAATAATTTTATTTTTAAAATTACGTCTAACTTATCTATAAGAAATAATTGTTAAAAACTAATTTTAAACATTGGATAGCTGTATTCCATCAATCACCAGAGACCAGAAATGCTGGTGTTCAAAACTAATTTTAAAATATAAAGCAAATACACCTTATATATTTACATGGCCATATATAGGTTGTAAAAGTTTTAAATGTATTTGCAGACAGAGGAGAAAATGGTGAAAAAATATTTATTTTTAAATTATATATTTTTATTTTTCTTACGTACAATTTTTGAGTGGTGTTATTTTATTTTCAAATAAATGTCAGCACTTAATTTTGGTTAAGTAAAAAATATATTATTAAATTAAAAAATAACCAAATTCACATTTTAAAAAAATACTAAAAAGGAAATTAAGAGAGGATAAAAGAAAAAATAAAGTTGACATATTGTCTTGTAATCAAATTTAAGTATCTAAAATTTATTTATCTTTAAATCTCACATTCAAAATGTCTTAGTTTTTAGCTTCTTTATTCTACATAAAAAAATTAATTAATTAGGATATGTTTCATTTATCTAAAAAAATTTAATATATTTAGAATTTATTTGCAGAAAATAATAACACAAATTACCAATAACGGATCAATCGTGCTAACACATATTTCTATAAGCATTAATAAAAATAAGGATAAGTAATACCAGATCAATAGTATCAACACATAATATAGTATCTTCTATAATCATTAATAAAGAATAAGGATATATAACATGCATTTGTTACAACAACAAATTATAGTATTTTATTTATTTAATAATTTTTTTAATTTATTTTTATTCTTATTTTATAAAATTATTGAATAATTGATATTATATTTATAAAAAAAGAGAGTTAAGATTTATTGACACTAAATGTTAAACTTAAATATTTATACTTGTTAATAATTTTTTCTAGAGTGCAAAATTAACAAATATAAATCTTAAATCATTTTATATTATCTTCATAATTATATATATTAAATTTCACATAATTTAGACATGTATAAGTATTTTATCTAATAGTAGATATTTGCTTATATTATAAAAGTGTAATATTTATTAAAATAAAATAATATGATGAAGTATCTTTTAATTTTATTTTTATATGAAGTTTTATAATGTTAATATACTTAATAAAAATCTTCAAACTAATAGTTGAATTAATTAATCTTAATTTTATAAAAATTATTAAGAAATGTAAGCATTTAAGTTTGACATTTGGTGTTAACAAAGAAAGTATCTTGAACCATTAGGCACATAGACCAAGTAGTAAGATGTTATTCTAGTTTAACTTAGTTGTCTTAAGTTTGATTTATAACAAATACAACCAAGTTATATGACCAGATCGAAATGATGCATCACCATTGTTTATAACTTAGGAGATTTTCTAAAGTTTTTATCAATTAGTATCATAGTCTTCAATCATATCTCTGAGCGATATACGTAATGAAGTCGGCATTGTGATATTTATCTTCACTCAAATATGGGACTTGAGTCCCACATTAAAAGTATGTAAAGTTTACAAGACCTTGAGTTCTTCTACCCTTTAATCACTTGCATGAGATTTGTTTTACTTCTTAATGTCTTTAAAACTACCAAAAATAAGATGAAAGTGAAATGTCACTATAACATTTAACAACAATCAATGTGTTATTCTTAATTGACTTATCTTTTGACCCCTAACATTTTATATAAGCACACATAGAGGTACCTAAAGGCATAATGGTGACCATTATTTTACATTCAATATCTCCATTTCTTCTATCTCTACTTTTATTTATTCATCTTCCTTTAAAACATGGTCATGAAACACATTTAAATAAGAACTTCTAAAAAAAAATAACTTTGATTGAAACACATAAATAAGATAAAAACGCTTAACAAAGATTAACTCATATTAAGATAAAACAACTTAATCTTTTATATACAAGTAACCTCCCAAGACTTATGCTTAAACATAGTCATACTCGTAACTATCTTCAAGCATAAGTTGCACTTAGATAGAAATGATTTGTGTGTAAATTACAAATTATTTCACTTGTATGATTTATGTATTTAAAAAGGACATATTTAAAATTTTATATTTATTTTTTATTTTTAAAAAATTTAAGAATATAAATTAAACTTTATAGCATAAATATTTGTTCAAGTTTACTTAATTAATTAAATAAATAAATTTAAATTTGATTATTTAATCAGTTAAGTTTAAGTTTTATAAGTTTATAATCAAAATATTAACTTTCTAATATCAAAGTAACTTTATGTAAATAAAGTTAAATTTTATTATACTTTTAGCATAAACATATTTATTGAATAAAATTTTATTTAATATTTATAAAAAATTTTAAAAATATAAATAAGCTAATGAGTTAAATATAAGTTTCAAAATTTTTAATATCAAACATCAAATTTGGGTATTTTAATAAAAAAAAAGTTAAATTTAACAAATAATTTAGTAACAATATTGTAAATGTTTAATTTTAATAAAATTAAACACAAATAATTAGGTAATATATAACTATTAGATGGATGAAAATTATTTTCTAAACATCTAAATTGCTTTAAAACGTTGAAAACAAATATTTCAATTAACGCCTATCTTGTTTATATAATTGAAGCAAAAGTTGTGTGTTCTGTGACAACAGTATTTACAAGCAGATCATGAAAGCATTAGCCAAGCTCCGATCTCTGCATTCCTTTCTCCTTTCACAATCTCACGTTTTGCACTTTTCTAACGCCTCAAAGCTTTCGCACCCTCACAAAATAACACGACATCCCAGCAACAACAAGCCCTCAGACACCGATGCTTCCCGTGCACTTTTCAATGAGATCACTGAGATTTTAGGCGCTGATCCCGTGATCCCAGACCAATTCCCATCTTCGTTTTTGTTTTCCCTTGAAAAACAAGATTTTGAAGTGGGTTTCAAGGATCAACCAACTTGCACTAAAGGTGTTTGTGGAATTGCTGCTGATAATGTTTTGCACGATAAAGACGAAAGCTTTAACATTTTGGAAGATGCCCAGTTGGGAAATATGTGTGCAGAAGATTTGAGTCGGGTTGTTGGTGAGATTACTGAAATTGTTAGAGCGGAAAATGATTCCTCTTCTGTGGAAGAGAGGTTAGAGAATCTGAATTATGGGTTGAAAAGTGAGGTTTTTGACAGAGTGTTGAAAAGATGCTTCAAAATGCCTCAGTTGGCTATGAGGATTTTCAATTGGCTGAAGCTCAAGGATGGTTTTAGTCACACAACACAGATGTATAATACCATGTTGTGCATTGCTGGAGAAGCTAAGGAATTTGGGTTGGTAAAGAAGTTGGTGGAAGAAATGGATGAATATGAAGTTCAAAAAGATGTTAATACGTGGACCATTCTCATAACCCACTATGGGAAGGCAAGGAAAATCAGCAAAGCATTGTTAGCCTTTGAAAATATGAAAAGATGTGGTTGTGAACCAGATGTAGTTTCGTATAGTGCAATAATCCGTTCGCTTTGCAGTTCGGGCAAGGGAGACATTGCTATGGAGTTCTACAATGACATGGTTCAGAAGCAGATGGTGCTTGATGTGAGGTTGTATAAGATGCTCATGAACTGCGTGGCAAGATCAGGAGATGTTGCAGCTGTTAGTTTGCTGGGAAATGAAATGACTCGGTTGTCCCTGATGCCAGAAAACTATGTTCATGGCTGCATGCTGCAGAGTTTTTGCACTTCTGGGAGGATTAAAGAGGCTTTAGAATTGATTCGTGACATAAAAAATAAAGATTTAGCTCTTGAACCCAAATATTTTGAGATCTTGGTGAAAGGGCTGTGTAAGGCGGGCAGGATTACAGATGCTTTAGAGATTGTTGAAATCATGAAGAGAAGGGATATGGTTGACGGGAAGGTTCACGGGATCATCATAAATGGGTATTTGGGGGGAAATGACGTTCACAGGGCACTCGATGTGTTTCAAAGCATGAAAGAATCTGGCTGTGTGCCTACTATTTCCACATATACAGAACTGATACAGCATCTCTTTAGGATGAGTAGGTGTGAAGAAGCCTGCATGCTGTATGATGAGATGCTGGGAAAAGGAATTAAGCCAGATGTTGTGGCAATAACAGCTATGGTTGCCGGTCATGTTTCACAAAACCGCATATCTGACGCATGGAAGGTTTTCAAGAGTATGGATTGCCAAGGCATCAAGCCCACTTTGAAATCATATGCAGTATTTATTAAGGAGCTTTGCAAGGCCTCAAAGGCAGATGAAATTGTCAAGGTATTACACGACATGCAGGCTTCGAAGATTAAAATTCAAGATAAAGTATTCCATTGGGTTATAACTTATATGGAGAACAAGGGGGAGCTTAATGTGAAAGAGAAAATCCAGCAGATGAATAAAATATATACACTTGATCCCAAAATGTTCAAGGATTCGGACAAACAAGTATCTTTGAGAATTAAGGTGGACGAGGACATGGAAGTTCACCAATCAAAGTCAGAAAAAGTAGATTGCTCTGTAATACATCCACACATTAAGACTTTCAGTGAGCAGGATGTTCATGAAGTTTGTAGGATTCTTTCATCCTCTATGGATTGGTCCTTAATCCAAGAAAAGTTGGAGAAAAGCACCATTCAGTTCACCCCTGAACTTGTTATGAAGACGTTGCAAAATTGCAACATGCATGGTAGCTCTGTCCTGAAATTTTTTTCATGGGTGGGAAAGCAAACCAACTGTAGACACACTGCAGAATCTTACAACATGGCGATCAAAATTGCAGGCTGTGGAAAAGATTTTAAGCATATGCGCAGCCTGTTCTTCGAAATGAGAAGAAATAGTTATCCAATAACATCAGAAACATGGACAATCATGATAATGCTTTATGGCCGAACAGGTTTGACCAAGATGGCCATGAATTGTTTCAAAGAGATGAAAGCCGATGGTTATACACCAAGTAGGAGTACATACAAGTATCTGCTCATTGCCTTTTGTGGGAGGAAAGGAAGGAAGGTTGACGATGCCCTCAAAATATATGATGAGATGATTAGTGCAGGATATGTCCCTGACAAAGAATTGATTGTAACTTACCTTGGTTGTTTATGTGAAGTTGGTAAACTGTCAGAGGCTAGAGTTTGCACAGATTCTCTTCAAAGATTTGGCTATACAGTCCCTCTTAGCTATTCCTTGTTTATGAGGGCTCTTTGTAGAGCTGGGAGAGTGGAAGAAGCATTGACCTTACTTGAAGGGGTTGGAACAGTGAAATCTAGTTTAGATCAGCTAACTTGTGGAAGCATTGTTCATGGTCTATTACGCAAGGGTCGCTTAGAAGAGGCATTGACCAAGGTGGACGCCATGAAAAAGGAGGGCATAACACCTACCATTCATGTTTATACATCTCTTATAGTTCATTTCTTCAGAGAGAAACAAGTAGGAAAAGCTATTGAGACTTTTGAGGAGATGCTACAGTCAGGGTATGAACCAACCATTATTACATATTCTTCACTTATACGTGGGTATATGAACGTTGGGAGGCCTACTGATGCATGGAATATCTTCTACCATATGAAAGTTAAAGGACCCTCTCCTGATTTTAAAACTTATTCTATGTTCCTTACTTGCCTCTGTAAGGTTGGAAGATCTGAAGAAGCAATGCAACTTATTTCTGAAATGATGGATAGTGGGATTGTTCCAAGTACTATTAACTTTCGTACAGTTTTTTATGGGCTAAACAGAGAGGGTAAAAATGATTTGGCCCGTTTTGTATTGCAACAAAAATCAGAACTAATAAGAAAGCGCAAGGTCTTAACTTGATTTTTTTCTCTCATGACTTTTAGATGTTGGATCTATGCTACTGTTTTTTCTCGTTCTAATTGACATCCAGCATGTTGTCCATGCAGCTTGAAATTGTTCTCCCAAAAAGGGGGCTCTCATCTTAGTGATGCTATTTTGTAAAAGCCATGAAAGTAATAATCTTGTAAAATTTAACAATATGTTTGGGTTAAATATTTTTTTAAGCCCCTTTAAATATGATTGAACTTGATTTTAGTCCTTCAAAATTTTTGTTGTTAATTATAATTCTATTTTAAAAGTTTTGAAAATAATTTCCATGATTACTTTTTGATGAACGTGTTATCACAAAGAAGTAAAAGAATTTTTTTTAAAAATCTATTAGGACCAAAACCAATAAAATAAAATAAAACAAAAATTAGTCATATTCATAACAATTAAATACATATTTAAGCATATTTGATTGCTTTCTTTAATAAAGTTAATCAAATTTAATGCTACTTTCGATTTTATTTATAAAAAAACAAATAATTAATTCATTAAAACTAATAAAAAAATAGCTATATGTGATAAATTTATAGTCATATTGATGTCTTGTCTTATATATTAAATAAAAAAAATACTTATATGAATTATTAGTGACCCAATAACACAAAATTTACAATAAATAAAAGTATAAAAAAATTAAACAATCAATACATCTAAAAATAAATCTTTACTTCTTATAATTAAGATAAAATATTTGTAATTATTTTTTATAAATAAGACCTAACGTAAGACAATTTAGCAACGAGTTGCCACAAAACACCTTTACAGGCTACATCATCAAATACAAGTGCAACAAAATTCCGAAGATAATCCGCTCTTTGGTGAGGATAATACTACAAAAGAAATTATGTGAAGGAAATACAAAAGTATTGCTCAGTTGCATGCAGTGAATCTGAAAGGGTGTTCGTTCTTAAGATGTGCCTCTTGATGTGACAAGATGTGAACTCCATCATGTACAAAGAGAACTAATAAGGTCCCCCGAGACAAACAGCGAAATCAAATGGTGATTTACTGTTTAGGCCAGTTCATTGAGACAAATGAGTCAAATTCTTCAAACGGACAACTGAACTATCGTTTGCCCTCAAAGGAATAGCTCCTGAAGCCTACACTAATATAATAAATAATATGAAATAAAGGGAATCAGAGGCAAAACAGAATTACAAGCAGGGGCAACTTAGATAGAGTATCTATCACATTTCCAAAGCAGTAAACTAGAGAAATAATATATCAGTAGAATCATCAGTTGTTGACAGAGATATACATTTTACTCTGGAAGCCTTGAAGCAAAAAAACAGAACAGGTACAACAGCTACGAGGTCCTGCAAATTGGGTGACAATAATGTCAGAAATTGTCAATTAAAGAATAAACCGAACTATAAAGATAGCCCAAGGTAGTAGGACATTTTATGATATGGTAGAATTTCAGAAAAACAACTATTCCACACTTTCTACAAAGAAATTATTGCATGCTCCCTGGAGCAGCAATTAACGCATGCTCGAGGAATATATCCATCATTGTTTTTAGGCACATTAACACCAACTTTAGACTACCAACTTAAAATCAACGGTGGAAATGTTCCCAGAGCATGAAGCCTGTCTCCATGAGTACGTAAATTAGCTGATAGAATCACTTTCAACATAAATGTCATGCAGACTTGTGCTTGAGTATGCATATGAAAGATTGAAAATGAAGATAATAGCATCCTCTTTAAAAAATGAATATATGGTGAGATCATTTCCTCTGCTTGATAAACTCAAACTGAGGTTGTCTCTACCAAGATTTTTCAGGCAGCTTTCTATGAGGTAAAAAATGAGATAGAATCAAAATGACATAAGGTTTGGCACAGGAACTCTTGCAGAAATGTAGGAAAGTTAAAGGACTGGTGATGGATGAATTGCTCTAGTCTTACTCTTGCATGATAGGAGTGAAAACAGAGGTATGAAATGGTAGACTAAATTTCCCATCAGTCCCATCTTATGGATTCTAGTATTTAAAGGGGCATGTGTGACAAGTTTACTTTAAGTAATAACAGTTACTTTTAACTTCTGTTTTCAGATCTTTTTCACTCAATTTGCATTAAAAAATGATGGATGAGATGAGAATAGCTATCATCTATTATCATTTCGTTCTCATCAACCTGCTTGCAGTAAGCATAAAGCACTTTTTATCACAAGCAACAATTCTTTTCAAATTTCTTACTTTCATCTCTACCAAGCGTAGCTTACTGAATCAGGCAAAAGAAAATGTTGATGTTACCTATATCAAAGCTTCTTCACAACTTCATCAATTACACGACTATAGTAAGTCATTCTCCTAATTGCCAATTTTGCTTCTTCAAAGTTCTGACTTTGAAAAGCATTACCAAAGGCAATAGACCAATTTTCCAGCTTCTCCTGCATCTGGATGACAGTTTAAAATCTTGATTTGAAATGATTGTGCATTCTCTTTGTGTACTTCTTCCTTGCAAGGAGTTTCCAGACATACCTGAGTAAGAATGTGATTCAAAGCCTCAGAGTTAGTTGCTTCTTCAACTGCTTCCCTGATTTCCATAATCTGCAGTAAAATGTAGCAAAATAATAAGATTGGAAGCTATACTTTCCTTCTGCAGAAGAGTGAAACACGAGATAAGAGAAAGTCAATAATATATACCATTAATTTGAGCACAAATATTCCAGAATTCAATTGAAGTTCTGGAAAAAGGATGACCAATTACTTAAGGGAAAGAAATAAAAAAAAGGGTAGGAGAGAGTAGGAGAAGGAGAACAAAAGGAAAATATTTTCCTGCGACAAAATGCTGCATTCATTTCCTAGAACATATAAGTAGATGAAATGTATTTTTTATATTTAAAATTCATATGTTATTTTCACTTTAAAGCAAATCAATGTCCCAAAAACTGACAAAACCCACTTCAAAATGGAAATGGGTTTCCAAATTCTGAAAAAAACAACTACCTATCATGATTTCTTTGAGGAAAAATCCACTCATTTTTTAAAGTACTTGTTTCACTAATATTTTGTTTACCATGGATAGGAAGTTATAAGAAGTTTCACATTGAAAACAAATAAGACTCTATTCAGTTACCTCTGCAAGTAATTCTGGATCTGAAATTGTCTGTTCTTCATCAATTTCTACTCCATAAAGCTTCAACTGAAAAAAAAAAAAAAAAAAGGCACAAATTACTTGGTAACACTTAAGAAGAAACAATTGGGATGAACAAAATATAAAAGCACAGACATTCACGTAAAGCCTATATTGATGACTTACAGATCCAATAATAAATTTCTTCATCACAAATACAATATCACCATTATAGACTTTTAAGATTTTCATAATCTGTAGAGATTTCTGTTACTGTAATCAAACATGTTTGAATCTTCACATGGAAGTATGCTTACCATGTAAATCCCTCTTGACAAAGGCTTGCTAAGTGTTCGGTATGCATCAATCACCCTTGCAGATTGTTCAGCAGCAAAATCTCTTTCTTTCTAACCAATTGAAGGAATTAGAACAAAAGTCTGTTAGTTTCTCCAGAAACACATTCAACTTTGCTACCTAAAAAGGAAAATTAGAAAGAAGAAAAAAAAAAATGACATAAAAAGGAACAAGAAAGGATATCCATCCCACCAACCTGAGACTTTGAATGTACTAAATCAGGATGCAGTTTCTTTTGCCACTCTTTGTACTTGCCCTCCAAATTCTCACCCTCTATATCATACTTCCTCTCCCTGTTTGAAATTTGAAATTTAAAATTTAAACTTAACTCATATATTTAAATTTATCAGAAAACAAATCAATAGATTTCTCTTTTACTCATTACAAAATCTGAAGCACAAATGTCCTGCTAATGAAATTCAGAAATAAATTTAAAAGCCAACTATGACACATTATATAGTATTATAGTTTTTATTTCAGATTGATGAGAGAGAGCAAAAAAACAAAATTTACAACATTGAAAATAAATCCAATTACCTAGAACCAAATAATAATAATAATATCAACAACAAAAGCAATTTCCTAGTAACTATTAATTACCAATTTACTACAAAAATGAAATCTCTATGTGGCTCAAAGCATATTGAATCAACAATATCCATATAAATAACAAACCCATTGTTATAAACCGATCAATCAAGATGAATTGTCATAAAGATGAAAACTTTGTCAACAATTTAATCACCCAGAACAATAAAACAAAACCCTAGAAACTTACGACCCAAAAATTTGAAAATAGTCAATGGAATCATCGACGGGTTGAATGCAGCGACATGAGTCGCAAACCAAGAAAGGTGTTGCTGATTGATTGACAGCATGGCAATTCCAGCACCCACTTTTCATTTTCTCAGCAGATTCTGAGCACAAACTTTTCCCGTAAAATCCGAGACACCCGAGTGAATAATAATAACAGGACGTGGGGTTATTATGACAAGGAAGATCCTTGGGGGCGAAGGGTGATACATGGTTAACACAAAGTTTAATCTGAGTAGAAAAAGTTGAGGTGAAGTGTTGTTGAGGTATTGAAGTTAACGTGCGCCTCAAAAGGGGTATGCAAAGCTTCTTCTTAAACATTGTGTGAAAGAGAGAGCAGACACCGAGGGCAGAAGCTAGCAAGCAATTCCCGTCTTCTGGGAGGGCAAAACAGTTTGTACTTGTGTGTACAGGTTTTAGAAACAGATGCATTTCGTACGATTTTATTTTTAAATCAAAATTCTTATGACTCAATATACAAATAATATCCAATTCAATTTGAATTTTACTACTATTATTATTATTATATTTTCTATTAATTTTTTATAAATTTTTTAAAATAATTTTATTTACATATATTTATTTTAAAAAATTTTAAAAATTAATTATTAAATTATATATATTAAAAATATTTGTGAATTGTAAAATTTACTAAAGTAGTTAATTAATTAAAAGATAAAAAATGAAAAAATTAATTTTATTAAGGGAAAAATAAAAATAAAAAATACTCAATTAAAATTAAAAGAAGCGAAAGTTTTAGAGTAAATAAAACTGATGTACCACGTTTTTATAATTTTTTATGATGATATTAAAGAAAAATAATTTTATGTAAAATAATATAAATATATGATAATTGATAAGTATAATCTGGTTTTAAAAAAAAAACTAAAATGTAATATAAAAATATGATTTTTAATTTAATCAATTACTTAATTGATTTAAAATTGTTTTATTAAATTTTGAACACCTCTGCTGAAACATCATTTTAGGAAATTAAAAAATCACGTTCTGGGAATTTATGGGACTTAGGACGTCTAATAATTCTAAAATAAAAAATATATAAAATTTATATAAGAACATTTTTATATTATTTATCTTTGTTAAGTAATTTTAACTTAATAACTTTTAGTTAAAGATTAGCTTTTAAACGAATTTGTTAATTATTTTTATTTAAACTATGTATTTTTATATCAAACAATCTTCCTCAAATTAAGTAAAGTTAGTTTTTTGGAGGCATATTTAATACACAAATTTTAAATTTAATATCTTGCCTAAGAAAAACTAATTATATAATTTGGCAAAGAAAAAGGAAATAAAGTGAAAAAACAATTAATTAAAAATGATCAAGGAAAGAGTTAAGGGATTAAAAATATAAAATTACAGAAGAAGAAAATAAAAATAAAAAAGCAATTAAGAATTAAAATGACAAATGAAATAAAATAATTAAAAAGATAAAATACATAAAAAAAATGCTAGCAACATTATTTTTAATATATTTTTTTATTATTAGTTAAATTTTATTGAAAATTAAAAAATATATAAAAATAAAAAATATTAATTTAAAAATAGGAAAGAGTAACATTTATATAATTTTTATAATATTAATAATAAATGTTAAAAAAATATAGATTATGTATTTCTGTTATTAATCATACATCAATTCAACGACTAAAGCAAATTAAATAACCTATTTAAACATATTTTTGACTTTTTGTTGTTGTATTTAATGTCACTCTCTGTATTTTCATTCTTTTAGATAGTATTTAAGAATCTACTGTCATATTATTTTACATGCATTATATAAATGGTTTTAATTTAAATAAAATTTTAAAAATATATGTAAAAGATAAAAGATTTTAGAGTTTTGTTAACCTCAATTTATAGAAGTGAGTTTAAATATTCATAAATAAAAAAATTTATAAAAAAATATATAATTATTATATTAAAATTATAAAAATATAATAAATATTTTTTTAATAAAATTTTATTATTATTAACTAATTTATTCTGTGAAGGTTAACAAAATTCAAAATTTTATTATTGTCAAATCATGGGATCTTTATTTTAAATATATGATAAGTGATATATTTATTGAAAATAACACTTTTTAAGTGAAGAATCATTGGATGGTCTATATTACATTATGATAATCTCAACTAATTATCATGTGACATGTGAAAATATTATTTAATTAATAAAAAAAATCAAAATTCTACTACGTGTCACAAAATGTTTGAAATTACGAACACGCGATAATTCTCGATCTTTCGTTAATTTTTCATCTAAGTGCCCCATGCACAATAAAAAGTGCAAAAGATAAAGCTTTTGGCAAGGAGGCTTGAAGAACACTTGTAACACGAAGCCTTATCTCGTGTTAATCTTTTCTTTGCGCCCTTTTTGGAAACTTCCAGCACCTTTGCTTTTAGCCCTTATCCAGTATTTGTAGACAAACAAACGAAATTAGAAAAGTTCAGGATCTTTTTTCTTATGTCAATTTTCAAACTCAAATACAAAGGGATTCTTGGGGATGAATTAAGAAAAGTTTAAAAGAGGAAAAAAAAACTATTTTTAAAAATTTAAAAATAAAAAATAAAAATGATACATTATTACAAACTTAACGTCTTAATCTTTTGTTTATTTCTATGAATATAAATATAATTTCCTTAATTTAAAAACAAAATTTATTCACTTTTATTTTCCTTTAAAACCATCCTCTTGAACATATCCTAAAGAAATAATGATAATGATTGATAAACATAGCAGAATAAAATAAAAATAACACACTGGTTATGTACATGTTAGTGCATTTTGAAAAACAGAATAAAACTAGACACATGGTTAAAGTGTTAACGTTTGAGTTTCAATAAAAGGGATGAAAACATAAAGGTAGAACAAAACAGAATAATTTTGTTTGCACTTTAAACACTGCCAATTAAAGAATATCACGCAGAAATTTGGATTTGCACAAATTCAAACTTCTTATATCCAATTTTAAGAAGCCCTGTGAAGATAGCCTGTGGAGCAAATGAAAAATCTTCATAAATTATACAATTTTGTTAACTTCAATTCAAGACTGATTTTAAAAAGTCTAAAGCTTTTAGTTATTTATCCTCGTCCTTAAGGATTGAGTTTAGTATTTTCCTAGATTATATGGCTGGCAGAAAAAAAAATAAGAAAATAGATTATTCCAACATAACAAAAGGGAGAACCCTGTTAGTATACATGACCAATCAATCATGATAAAAGTAATATGCAAAGCATGCACCGAGTTATTCAGGCACATGAAGCCTCAAAATACAATGCTTCTTCCTCTGTTCTTGGTTAGCATTTCCCTTTTAGTTAACGCAGAAAACACCAATAGAGACTTTTTTTCTGCCTGGTTAACTTCTTTGGTACTTTTGAAGTCATACCTTGAGTTACAATGGTGTTTAGTTTTATCTTCCTGCTTGACTTGTCTGCATAATCTGAGGACACGTCTTGGACCAAATTGGCATTTAATTGCTTGTTTCTGATTGTTGTTTGGTCAAAAACTGCTCCATTTTCCAAAGAATGTGAAGCAACCTGGGTTGCCTCAATAGGTCTTGAAAGATTTTTCTCTGAAGAAGTTGGGACTACTTTGTTAGAATTTACTTCCCTTAAGTTAGAATTTGTTTCTGTATACCTGAAGGAACAAAAAAAGGATAAAAATATTAATGATCATCTTGTACTACGCTTATTAACCATATGAAAGGAAACAGAATCATACATACTCTTATTCCTTTAAACAACAACAGAAACAGTAGCACAATTACCTTAAGTTTTGAATGCCAGAGTTAGTCTCAAGTGCTTCATGCGAAGTTCCCTCTGGTGTATCTCTATTCGGTACTTCAACATTAACCTCAATTTTAGGACTGAGTTGGATAAGTTTTGCAGAATGTGAATCAACCCTACCTTCTTTTTCCATGCAAGGGGATTCTTGACTGTCAATGCTAGAAGAGGCCACCCTGGGATGATATCGGTGTTCACGCACCATTGAAATGGCCTTGTCTAATGTTTCTAGAGCCTGTTCTACCTCTGATCGGATATGTAGGCTCCTTTTTTCCCTCAGTACACTCCCATCAACTTCCTTATTTGGAATGTCATTTACTTCTTTATTCTCCTCTTCCTTATTTGGAATGTCATTTACCTCTTTATTCTCCTCTTCACATTGTACAATTTCTTCACAATCTACTTCCACAATCTCACTAAGTGCTTTGCTATTATCTAGTGCTTTTGTACTCATTGCCATTGAGATGACATTATTTGTATGCCGATTGCTTTTATCTTCCTTAGATACATCTTGCTTACTTTCAACAAGATCTTCAGAAGTGAGAACTCTTGCAACTTGCTGAAGCTCTCCAACATCCATAGCCTTTGATCTACTTGTGGTATATAGAGCTTCACGAATTCTAGCATATATTGGGTCCTCCAAGGCCTTAGTGAATTCTCCTTTATCATGGCTCATCATAGAAGCCACAGTCTATAACATAATCAGTGATTGGTTTGTGTCCAAAGATGATAGAAAACATTAACAAATAGCAATGCAATGATGCAAGAATGTTTTACTTTTGTTTGATGGAACAGAAAATGACAGATCAGCTGAATCCAGCTTTCAAGCTAGCCATTGCAATTAAGATAGGCTGAGTTCACAAAGCCAGGGTAAATACTGCTCCACATAGGTGTATGTAATAATATAAAGAATTCCTGTTAATGTGTTTGAAACTTATCATTTATGTTGCTTGTTTAAGGGAAATATCTCATCCTACTTTTCTCTGTAATCCATCTAACAAAACTAACTATGATATCAAAAACTAAATAATAGTAATCTAACGACAATAATTAAAGAATCCAAGGGATGGATGATTTATTTGATTATAGGATATAACAAAAAGTGCAATACATTTATAACCAAAAAAATGCAACATTACATTTATTTTTAACTTGTTTTTCTTCATTAAATAATGAATTAACTCATTAGGTAGATCCAGAAAATCAAAAACATTTTTTCATTGAATGCCTAATAAAAGAAGCATATCTGAAACGAATCTACTACCTTCTGATAAAGTCTGAAACCATTTCCAATGAGCTGCCTTGAAATAAAGTTTATTAAGGATGGAGGCACAAAATCCAGCTTTACATCCATATTTGCTATCGTCCTACAAAAGTTCAAGTCTTGAATCAGGATTGCTAATAAACTCCATTTTCTTTGTGGTACCTTTTTCATTTTTTACCTCATGATGAAAAGTCAAGCCAAGTAGTAAATCAATGAACCAGTTTACTTTTATCTTTCTTTCAGAATCTAGTATCAGATGAATAGGTAACTTATAATGGAAAGTTGGAAACATAAGACTCTTTATCCTCCAGGAACCAGCAAAGTCACTTCAGACAGAACAATCAAAGCACCTACATAACTATTCACAAAAATACCAGCAATACCAAGCAAGTACAAAATAGAAACAAAATAAATTATTAAAACAAGAACAATTTAGTTCCCTGACTGATCCCCCAAATCAAAGCCCATCATAGTCAGAATTTTCTAATAACTGGAATTATATTATTCTTAACCTATAGTCCAAACCCCAGGATGAATTCAGAAGCAGTAATTTCAGTTATTTTCCTAGGAAGATAACACACTATTAGAATTTTAGAAGTTTCTGTACATTTGACTAGAGATTGACACAATATGCAGAATGCTTGTGTATGTTTGTACTGCAGATCGTGATTGACTACAAGTAAAGAAATGGTTGTTGTTTAAATTAACATTCCAAATACAACAACAACAAAGTCTTATTCTATGGGTGAGATCGGTTAACATTTCAAATAATGAACAGAAAAAATGCAAGGACTTTCATTACTGATGGAAAAATAGGCTTCATAGTTCATATTCTATAACCAAATCTCTCTCTCTCAAATGAATAACAAATAAAAGTGAATCAAATATGCTTACTACTATAAATGCACAAATGCAATTATAGAATGCAACAAATTTTGCAAATATAACAAACATAAAATAATATTATATTGTTGTATCACACATGTTATTGACAACTAAAATACTTATCATAATTCTGCTATGGTCCAAAAATATTTCTTAAAGACAGTTCATCTCTTTTCTAAAACAAGCAGCCCATATATGGCACATTATGGTTTATGATTGTTGAATATTTTCTCCTTTCACTCTACCACTTCATTCAAGTAAATTCTCATGTTTAACTACATCTAAAACTCACCGAAAGTAACTTCTTTCTGATGTCACCTTCTGCAAAGCAAAGCCTCCCACCAAATCAACTCTCACAACATCCTTTGCTTCAGGAATCACCTCATTGTCAAAACCACAAATGGTGTCAGTGACACTCTTTGACTCGGAGACCTGAAATCAAATTAAGCACAATTTCAATCTAATTTGAAATAAAATTTAAAAGTTAAAACAAACAAGGTTCTAGATGATTACCGAATTTGTAAGAACAACAATTAAGTCATCTTGAAAGTACTCAAACAAATAATAGTGCACTATAGCTTCTCTCGTAGACAAAGGCCATGAAACCTTCACCCTTTCTTCCAAAATGCAGAGAAAAATCAGCATTCGGAAGCAAAACTTTTAGCATGGTAAGGCGTTAAAAAGTTTTTCGTTTTTTTAATTGGTGCTAGCAGGACAAACCTCACAAGTGATAATTGTTCCCCAATCTGGACCTGGTGCAAACATTCAGCTGACAATATTTTGAAAGAGGGAATGGTAGACTGAGGCCACCTAAATGGAAATTGTGAAAAGGGCATCAACTAGAAGTATCAGATACATTTTTATAGTGATATATTACTGAGATTCAAAGCCATTTCTAAGGTATACAACAACTTTCAGGAATCATGACCACCTCAAAACAAAAGTAGTAAGTCAATTGCAAGCAAAACACATTTCCTCAACAGTAATTTTCTCAGCACCCCAAAACACACCAAAAAGATAAAGCACTTTCTTCTTTTTATTATTAAGGAGTATAACTTTGAACTTTATACAGAAATATAATAAAGATAAAAACGATAATGGTGGTCAATGTCATATTGGAACTAGTATACAGAAAATTCAAGGCACTTATTGTACTAAATAAAACTCTCACCATTTTTTGTAAAGGGATGTCTCCCATGAGATACATAAACCTGTAACAAAGAAAACAATTAACTCAATTTTGCATATTGATATCAATAAAAGGGTGGTGCTAAAAGTATTTGCTTCAGTGTGGCTTACAAACATCAACCGGCCCATCTACAAAGCCTTCAACTAGCATTGTGTGAAAGGGAGTTCCCTCTGGTCCTTCGCGATACATAACACGAAACTCTTCACCATCTTGTTTCAACTGTTGAAAGAAGTAAAATTATCAATAACTGGAGAATTTGATGGAAAAAACTAAGTATCCTCAACCTAAAACATAACAAAAGTCATGCTACAAATGTCACAAGAGATTGCATTAGTCCATTGAATTTTAGACAATCGGGTACTGTTGGACTAAAAAAACTGAACCAACAAGGTCAGTCATCAAATGTAAATTCCTGCTTTCTGTGAAAGGAAGTTGTCAATTGAATTCACCAAAAGATTTAAGATTTAAATGAATGGAAGATGGCATAAATAAAAAAGATAAAACATGGTTAAACTACAGAGTAGATAGCATACTTTCCAATCAGTGTGCGATGTATTAGATCTTCCACCATCATCTGAAGAAGCACTCCTCAACATATCAAGAAAATTAGATATCTCTGCAGTCTTGGTTTCGGCTAATTTCTCTCTATATCCTGCACCAACCAGTGAACATGAATTGCACAAATAAAAAATGACAAAGTAAACTAACTAAACAATTGTTCCAATTATTTAGCACCATTTCTTCCTGAATATGAATTCAAAGAGAATTAGGGAGCACCTTCTACATTGAGTTCTGAAGAAGGTTGCAGTTGACTTCTAACAAGCTTTTTGAGCATCTCATCATTTGTAAGATCAGGTGAGGCAAGGGTTCTATCCAGCCTCTCCCTATACTGCACAATCTTTCTCTTCTTCTCCATTTTTGCATCTCTTGGGAAATTGGAACAGACCGTCTTTCAAAAAGTCAGATCAGGAACACAAGCCTCATCAATTAGTAGGATTCAGATTCTTCTCCTAAACCTACTACAACAGAAATCCACAGTGGTTAAACAAGACAAGCCAATCTGTTATAATACTCTCATCTCATCATGCACGAATCATGATTAACAAAACACAACAAACTGCATGTGTTTAACTAGTCAGAACCCACAAAAAGGTTTCTCTCCACAAGACAAAGTAATGAATTTTTTTATAAATTCACCCCTATATGTTGTTGTCAATTTATCATATAAAGATCCACAAACCAAAAGCCAAGAAAAGTCAATAGACTCAATACACATCCACCATATATAACACATCCATTTGAAGCAAACACAAAAAGAAACTTCAAATTTCAAAGCCACAAGGAAATAAAATTCTAAGAGGGACAGAAACAGAATAGCTGAATAGGTGAATTTACATACACCTCAAGACAAGCTAGCAATTACATGAAACTACATAACAAGCAAAATTTGAAGTCAACAAAAGCGACAAACCAAAATAAAATTCCAGGCTTGATGTCAACAAAGATCATTCACATGACAAGTAGAAATTGAAGAAACTCAAAGAAATCCAATTCAAAAAAAAAAAAAAAGAGGTGAAGATATCAAAACAACCCACATGAAGCAACAGCTTAGAAAGATGAAAACTTCATTAAAATTCTTTTTAAAAAAAAGAGCATACATGATTCATGAACCTTGGCTTTGAGAATTGGTGCTTTTCAAATTTCAATATTCATATTCTGGGAAGAACCCAGAAGCAGAAAAGGCAGATCTCAAGCAATAATGCAATCCCAAGACAGAGTCTGGTGATGTGAGCAACACAACACACGGTGGACTTGGCTTTGCTTCCCTTGAGAGACAAAATAGCAGCACACTAACAACCCAACCAAATAATTATATTTTATTTTAAATATTATAAACATAAAAAGGAATTCGTTTACAAGAAAAAGTAAGTATGCAACAAGATTTAAAAATTATAAATTTAATAAGAATGTTTTTATTTTTAAAATGATAAAAATAGTAAATTTAGATCATATAGTTATATATAAATGATAAAAAAATTAAATTATTTTCTCCAATTCTCTTATTATATTAGTTGTTCAAAAGTTATAAATATTTTGATTTATGAAGAATAAATATATAAAAATATAAAACACTTCTAAAATCTTAAAAAACAAAACTAATTTACTAGTATTAATATTAGTTTAGATTATGTCCTATTATTTAATAAAGTGTAACTATACAGTGTGAAAGGGTGGAAGGCGAAGTTAGAACTTGGAACTCGCGTCAAATTCAAAGGTTTTTGTGTGGGACCCACTCAAACACCCCGGATTGAAGGATAACATTTTGGCTTTTTTACATAAATACTGCCTTTTCAAACTCAAATGACGCATGTGCCCTAAAAATATTTTTATTACATAAATATCCTTAAAATTGTAAACAGAAGTCGATTATAAACTACTTTAATTTAAAAATTGAATTTACTAGTACCTCTCACAAAAATCGACTTTAAAAGACTTCATATCTTCACAGAAGTTGACTTTAATCCATTGAAGTCGATTCTAATCGTTTTTAATTGCTGATTTTCAAATACAAACAAGTTGATTATAATCGACTTCCATATAACAGCAAAGACGATTAAAATCGACTTCTATTATTATTTGAAGATGATTATAATCGACTGCTATATAAATGTGAGTAACCAGAAAGAATAGAGTAGAGAGAGAATCAGGACTAAAGAGAGAAAGGAGGCCAGAGAGAAGGATCGAAGAACAGTGGAGACAGTAGAAATGATCGAAGAACAGCAGAGATAACATAAATAACAAAAGATGGATAATGATTTATATCGACTTAATTTTGCTGATCATATTGTCAGCAAGTTGTCAATACAGGTAAATTAATTTTTAAATATATTTAGTTGATTTATAATTAGTTATTTTTGTATTTAATTTAATATATTATTAATTTTGTAATTATATGTTAATATTATTTTGTAAATTAATTGTCTTATGTTTGTTATAATTATAATTATTATATTGAGGAATGTAAATAAAATTTTATTATATATTTATAATTATTATAATAATATAGTTTTATATTATAGTGATCTATAATTATAATAATTTTGATATAATGTTTTCATTTAAATCTTGTATATATTATTTTGTTATTGTACAGGAAGCTCGAATTTTAAAAAGTAGGCATTATAATTTGATAGTTCCTCCAGATTCAAGAATGGAACCATTTCTTAGGCAGACTAGTTTTTGGTATGTTGCACAGATGGTTCCAGTATTTGATTATAATAGGACATTCATAAGTACACTTGTAGAACGTTGGAGGCCTAAGATACATACATTTCATTTTTCATATGTAGAATGTACGATCACTTTGGAGGATGTTGTGTTTCAGCTAGTCTTACATGTGGATGAAGTCCCTGTGAGTGGTTGCATTGGAGCGTGGGAGAAATTTTATGATCGAAATATATAGGCATTGTGTGAAGATTTACTTGGAGTAGTTCCTGATGAGAGTAACATAAAAGGATTTTTCGTAAATTTATAGTGGTTTTTAGATACATTTGGAGCATTACCTCACAATGCTGATGGGCAGACTATTATCCGTTACACTAGAGCGTACATAATGATGATATTTGGTGGGGTATTGTTTCCAAATAAATTAGAATTTAGGGTTCATATGAAGTGGCTACCTTTTAACTGATTTTACTAAGATTCTAAATTATAGTTGGGGTTCTGCTATGCTAGCATCCCTTTATCGTGAGCTTTGTCGTGCAGTGAAATACAATGTCACCAAGATTGTAGGTTGTTTGCCTCTTCTACAGTCTTGGGCATGGTATAGAATACTTTAGTTAGCCCCTAGGCACCATTATCCTCTCATTTTTCCACTAGCATTGAGGTACAAATTAATTCTATTAATATATTATTTTTTTGTTATTTATATATGTTAATTTTGCAAGTAATTATTATTTATGTCCATTTCAGGTGAAAAAGTTATAGGTTATCGACGAGATCAGATACAGATAAATTATTGTGTTATAAGAGGATCATTGATTCAATTGACATTACTAGGGTAAGTTTAAATAAGATGTATGTTACTAAATTATTTTGTTTTAAATAATTATATTTTTTGGTCTAATATTTGTTATTTATTATTTCAGTTTAGATAGACGCCCTACAACAACAATGAGGTCAGGAACATTACACTTTCTTTCATGTATGATGAGGCTAATGTTTGGGTATCTGTGACTGTTCTTATACAGTTTACTATAATTAAGTGGCACCCTGTTGATCGCGTGGTTCGACAATTTGGTAGAGCACAACATATACCAATCAGCCCAATAAATATTGATCGATTGCATACTAAGGATGGGAGGGATGATATAGAGATATGGTGGCCTAATTACACCAAACATGGCACACTATATGGGAGGTACGTAGGGAGCAACGAGTTCAATACCCTTTATCTGATGATGATCGTCCCTCTGTCGAGTATTTCCAGTAGTATTTATCAGTCGCTAATAGATTTTTGTCATTGGATGGAGCCCCACAGAATCCAAAGTTTAGGGACTTGCCTGATGGTGTAGCACTACATGCTCCCTCAGTACCTGACATCACACACCCTAATGACGTTCCAGATAGACACTCTTTTAGCCGTCGTTTGCGTGCAGGTACATGTGCTAGTAGACGCCAATACTCCAATGAGGTGCATATACTAGCTGACCCCCCAGCACATGATGTACAACCAGATGTACTTTAGAATTGTCGTCGTTTGCGTGCAGGTACATGTGCTAGTAGACGCCAATACCCCAATGAGGCGCACATACCAGCCGACCCCCCACCACATGATGTACAACCGGATGTACTTTAGAATTTGAATTTTATGCAGTTTAAAATTTAAATTTTATGTCATTTGAAATATTATTTTTACATTGATATCATTTAATAATTTATAAAATTGTTATACAAAAATATTAATAAATTAAATTAAAATTATTATTTTATTTAATTTTGGTAAAAAATTTGAACAAATTATATGGGCAGGACGTGAAAAATGCATTAAAGAAGTCGATTATAATCAACTCTCTTTTAACACAGAAGTCGATTCTAATCGACTTTCCCATTGCATTGCAGAAAACGATTTTAATCGACTTCTGTATTTGTGTGCAAAATCTATTTTTATCAACTTCTATGCAATTCAATTTAGGACATTCATGTAAAAAAAAATTTTAAAACATATGTAATTTAATATTTAAAATAATTTATTTCTGTAAATTTCCCTAAAAAAGTGAATTTATTTATAAAAAGTATTTTATGATAAAAATTATTTAAATTATATAAAATTAATATATTATTTGTAACAGAAGCATAAATGTGAGAACTAGTAAAATTAAAATTGGTATAAAAATAATGGGTAAAAAGATAGGAAGTTTAAAATAGTTGTTGGTAAATGAGGTCGATGAGGTTGATGTTACTCAAAAAAAAATATAAATGATATATTTTTTAAGGTATTTACTTGTAATAAAAGTTGATAAATAATTTTTTATTAAAATACTTTTTAATATATATTTAACTATTGAAATAGTTGAAAGTAATGAGAATAATAATGATAATGAAAAAATTATGGAAGGAGACAATCATGTTATTGATAATGAGATATATAGAGACTGACTTGTGGTTACTAAACAAAAAAAAAAATCTAACTTAAAAGCAATTAAACCTAAAAAAGATGAAGAGCTTGTAAAGAAAAAAAAAATGTTATTTTAGAAGGCCTTTAATATTGTCTCTCGAAAGAATGATGATTAATAAGTCACAATTTCAAATCTAATAATAATAAGACAAACATATTATCTTTATACCATTCGTCATAGAAAAGAGGGAACAAAGGGACAATAAGTAGCAAGTCCTCACCAAGCTAAATTTCTACAGGTACATTTTAAAAGGGTGACGAGGTCACATATAATACAGGAGCATTTACATGCCATGCAAAAAAGCCTAACCTCAACTCAATAAGTCAACTTAGTAAAGGCATAGCACTTGTTGGAAGTTAAGCCATGAACATGGAACTTAATCAAAGAAATTGTTTCAAATTATTAGAGACACAATTGACAAATAGTATAATTTCAAGATCAACAACAAGAAATGAAGAAGGGTTTATGGTAAAAGTGGTGGGAGCTACACCTCTCAATACTTGAATCTCATACCCTCACAACTTACCTTGTCATGATATTAGAATTTAAATAACTTTTAATCCTATCCTAGAATATTATAAGAGCTGGTAATAAGAAATGATAGAGACATGTCAAGGATATTCTTAGTAGATAGCAGCCTATGATACTTTTTTTTGTGAAACTCACATTGAGTTCACTAAAACTTCTCAATTTTGGAGGAAAGTAGATATTAACTGGTCTATGGAGTGGAGACCTAAGGGCACTCATGTGGTTTATAGGTTATTGTTTAAGAAAATAATCAATTTATCCTTGTAGTCACTCATTTTAACCCACATTTTATCACCGTTAAAATAGGGGTAATGGCTAAAGAATGACATTATACTTGTATTTTTGCTAATCTTGCGACTACCTAAAGAAAAAAGACATGGATAACCTTAAAGAATGTTCATGTCATTTCTTCCACTTCATGGATAACGATTGAAGACTTCAATGAGGTGCAATTTCCTTTTATGCAAAAAAGTGAGTTTAATTCATACAACAAGGCTTGAGCATTCAGTGCAAGGCCTAAGTGTGACTTAACCAATATTCCTTCATCAGGTTATGTATTCACTTGACATAGAAATCATAATGGTCAAACATTCTTTCGAAGATATTAGTAGAAGTATGACAAATCTACCTTAGTTAAGAAGCTTTC